GTCTGTCCTCTGTATTCACCTGACATGTTCGATGCTGTATGTCGCGTTCTGCCTGGGAATGCACGTAGGGGACCTCTATCGGAATTCGAAAACGATGGCCATTTCTAGCCAACCGAATTCCGGGATCGCATCAGTGCGCCCAGGTTGAAGGAGTTTCTCAACATCACGCTCGACGAGACCGTCTGGTATATTGGGACTAGCCTGACAGTACGTTTTCCGCCTATAGAAATTTTCGAGTATACCGAGCAAGCGCCAAGCGTCGGCCAAATAGTGTTTTTTAGGAAACAGACGCTGCAGGCCAAGAATCAATCTATTGGCCCCATATGGGTCTGACTTCGATGTGCATCGTGTGGTTCTGCGGTTTCTACATGGTTTTGAGCTCGACAGGGATAAAAATGCTGGTTTTGTTGGCGCCAGAGAGCCCAGAATTCTGTATTATAAACTTCGTAAATTTTCATGAATTTACTGTACTGCTAAATGGCGTAAAAAGCCAGATAAATTGTGTTTTTGTCGTTAAAGACTGAACTTTCTACTAAAGTCTACTAAAATTAGCCCCCACCGCTAAGAGTCTAGTGTATTTTTCTAGGTACAATCACGTAAAATCGGGGATAGCCTCCGGCAAGCAACACAAACTTCAGATGCAACTGCTTGCCGTCTTGTGTGCGCAGGTATTGTTTAGTTGCTACGACCCCTAATTACTCAAAAAGTTTCAGGCGGTTTCCCCAGTCATCTTCGAGCTTTTCCCCGCTTTTTGTCTGCTTTATGGTGGATTTTCACGTAAGCCATCTAAAAACGGTGAATTTAAGGTTTTTAGGGGTAATCGAAGACCCAAAGGCCGGGCTATATTTTGCAATGTTTATCGCTGGTTACTCGCCGGCGGATGCCATCTCGGTGTTGATCCTATTTCGGGTAAGTTTGAGTAATCGCTTAAATGTATTGGGGGAAGGCCTTTCTGTACCTTTAAAGGGCCACGAGGCGCCAGAAATTGATTTAGGGCGCGAAAAACCGAGCATTGTACGTGGAAGGTCTCTGCACACCCAGTGGGTATCGAAATTGAGGCTCTGACTATCAAATTCTGTTTGGTCACCTCGAAGCTTGTCTTCTCATCCCTTTAAGGCCGAAATTCGCCGATTAAAAATCTCTTGATTTCTACAATTCACCACCATTTCAAAAACATATTTGAGTTTCAAAATGAAAATGTTTTCACGATACATGCAAAACGTTTTCGGGCACGCAGAACTCTCGTCCGGTGGTACGCATTTTTCTAAACAGTTTCCCCGTCCCAAAAAGGTCTTTTATGACTTTTTGTCAATTTGTTGGGGGGGGGGGCTTCTTTGTCCAATTTCTATAATCTTTTTGCAGCCCTATCGCGCCCGTGTCGCCAAGAGGATGGGGAACACCGCCGCCTTTCTCAAAAGGGTCTGCAAGGCAGGGTCGAAGGTCTCAAGTGCAGCGGCTAATTCGGCTTAAACTGGTACCCAATGATTTTCACAATGATGAGATAAATTTTGACTGTTCCTTCCACAGTTTTTATTTAAAAAGCTATGCCCTTATTTTGTGTCACCCCATATTGATGCCCTGCGAATATCGCTTTTTTTCTGCACTGCAATGTGTCAGACTCTTCTGATTTATCTGTAGTAAGATTTTTCCAGAATTGTCTTACGGTGTACTATTTTGTGCCCGCAACGTTAAAGTCGCTTCATGATTTCGTGGTTTGGTTTCGGTTTTATGAGGTGACGCAAGAAAATTATTTCATCTTATATACCTCAGCGTTGGCGCGATAATCAGTAACTTGCTTACCAGCTGACAGTGCCTCACTACTTTCTCTTTGACCTCCTTGTCCTTGCTTACCAAGTTTTATCACCTTAAAGGTATCTAACGTTTTATTTCTAGACCAACGATGGACTTCCTCAATTTGCCGCTCGTGTTCCATGAACGCCTTGCGGGTTTTGTTGCGAGCTCAGGCCCAAAGACACGGTTCCGCTACGCACGTACTTGCCGATGGTTGTGGAAAATGATTGAGGAATCGAACGACAATCACATGGATGCCGATGTATATGTCGATCAGGACCACTTTTCCATAAAGCATCGCGATGGCTACATAACTCTGGGACATCGTAATCCACGCGTCCAAACCCTTATATTATCGGGAACAACCGTATCAAGCGTCCTGCTGCGATGGTGGCCAGCGTATGTGATCCCGACGGGCTTGAAAGCGCTGGAGGTGCAAGTAATGGAACGTGGTCATGATTTTGCCCTCCGTACGAACATCCTTCAGGAGTTGAAACCGCCAAATACAAAATATAAGCATTTTCGCTTCTGGAGTCACAACAGCCCCCCGCTCCGGCTCTTCCATCTGGCGAATCGCCATGTGCATTCAATCGAATTGACACTTTTTCCGCCTGTTGGACCGTACTTCCAACTTCAATGTCCAAGCATGCGTATCGACATTAATTCCACGGACTTCGCGCATGCGCAAACATTTCTCGACGGATTGGTGGATCAATGGAAGTCAGGAATGCGAGAGATTGAAGATATCGAGCTAATAATGCGGAGCACGGCACAAGTTGATACCTGTGTTCACATCCGCAGGGACGGCCAGAGAATCCGTGTAGACTGTCGGTATACAGGAAGCCGCAATAGTTTTCTGCATCTGACCGTGACAAGAATTGACCCTCCAACCACTGAAGATTAGACCAATTTTGATCGTTAATTTGTGTATTGTAGCAGATAATAAACATTTGAAAGGCTCACAAGATCATAGCATTTCCATCGAGCTGGCCACAAATCGATCGATAATAATGCTGCGTTTTACCCCGCCTAATTCGCGCTGAATTTTGTCCAGATCGACATGACATCATTGCTAGACAGGCTTTTTGCCAGTAATTAATTTCATGAAGTCACCGGGACGTTTGCGTTATCTTTCCCAGGTTTTCGTATTTGCTGCTGGCCGACACGTAGCGCGCGTTTTGGCTGAGTCACCCAAACCTGGCGATTTCGGAAAAGCCCGCATCATTGATATTTCCATTTCTCATCCCTATTCGGTGCCCTATTCCCCGTTTTTATTTAATCGAAAATTAATTTGTTAATTAATTTAATTTTAAATTGAAAATTTTGCCATCTAAGATTTCGCCCGACTCCACTATGATTTTTTCCATTGACTAATTTCTAAAAATCAATTTTCTTCCACCGGATGGCCCAAAAATTCCCGCCCCCTGACTGTCCCTGCCCGGTCCGATTTGTACGATTTAGGTATTTTTAGGTATAGGTTGAAGGTACTCGACGCGCTGTGTTGATCATTCTTTTCCGAGTTTTGAAGTACCTGCTTACTTACTTACTAAACTCTAGTAAAGTTATTGCAGAACAGTGCGGTTCTCTGTTGCGTTTCCGACGCCCGGTTTTGTTGTCAAAATGGTAAAAATACTTAAATTGTGTCTGAAAATGCCGAAAATCGAGTGAGGTACTGCAAAATTTTGAAATTCGGGAAGAACGTATCTCCTCAGCTCCTCGGGAGCTTTCGATTTTCGATAGATACCTAAATCGTGAGAATCTGACCGGTCTGCGAACGGATAGGAGGGGCTGGGATTTTTTTTGGAGCCCTTGTAATTGATTTCTTTTTTAGATTATTCCAACGATGAAGTTCCTCGATCTGCCCCGCTCCTTCCACGAACGTGTCGTGAATTTCGTTGCTAGCGCGGGCCCAAGGGACCGCTTCCGCTACGCCCTCACTTGTAGATGGCTGTGGAAATTGACCGAGGATTCCAGGGACTATCATATGGATTGCACCGTATTTGTCGAGGAGGACAATTTGCTGATTGTTCACAGCGAGGGGTACGCATCTTTACGCGGTGATCCGCGTGTCCAGACCCTTATGCTATCGCACACAACCGTCGAAAAAATCGCATTGCAGGGCTGGCCAACGTACAAGATCCCGCACGGCCTGAAAACCTTGGAGCTGCATGCCCTGGAAGAAGATGGCCATGACTTCGCGCTCCATTCAGACATCATTAAGGAGCTCACACCACCGAACAGAAAGTATCAACTGTTGCGATTCTGGGAGCGCCAACCACCTTGTGACGAACTCTTCCATCTCGCCAATACCTATGTTAATTCGATCCAACTGCAAATCACGCCGCCGCTAGAGCCATATCTCAGACTCAAATGCCCGAAAATGCGTCTCGAGATCGATTCTGAGAATATTACGGATATTCAACGATTTCAGGATGGATTGGTGGATGAATGGAAGTGCGGGAGGCGAGAGATTGAAAAGATCCAACTTCGCACGTTATCCATGCATGCATTCGAAAGCAATAATCATATTCGAAGTGACGGACAGATGATTCGGGTGGAATGCCGGCCGCTCCAGAATCACCCTGGCCATCCGATGATGACGATACTGAAGATTGAGGCTGTAACGAGTGACCCTGTACACTAATGTGATGCTTATTTTGTGTATTGCATTCAAAGAAGCAAAGCATAAAAATTTCCCAGCAACACTGTAGAAAATTGGGCAACTGATTTGGACCGGAGCATCTTTCTAATAACGAGTGTTCCAAAACGTCATTTTAAGTTTTTTAATTTTATAAAATCGGGAATTGTCAGTTTGCAAAATTGAATACGTGCATCTTGTTCAGAATTGAATTCGCTATCGAATGAGCTAGGTCTGAAGCCGTTTCCAGGACGAGTCATAAAAAGCGCTCCGTATAACCTCTCTGACTGACAAAACAAAATGACAAAAAGTTTTGTAAATTTTGGAATCGGGCTCTTCCGCAAATTTTAAAAAGTGTTTTGGAATCAGGCGCGTAGGAGGGCTCGAAAATTTCTGTCGACTCTTTCTGTCTTCCAAGCACTCATACATCGAACTCGAAATCACAACAGAAGGCTTTTTCCGGTCTCAAAAATAAAGCGCCGTTTTACAAAATCTTTATTCTTGACCCAAAGATAAATACAGAAAATTATGCACAGAGCTACAGCAATCTCGCGCGGGAGTAGTTGGGTTATTTCTTGAGCGGCACGCATCGGTGGCAATCGTCTTTCTCGGAGGAGTACGTCTGTAAAAGCCATGGAGTTAGACTACAAAAAATACCTGATGCGAAAATTGCCATAAATGAAAAAATATAACGAACGAATAACAAACTACAGACTACAAACCTCAATCTGAACGGTGCATTCGTGTACGTTGTGCTCCCGTTTGAGCATGGCTCTGGTTTCCCGGAGGATGCGCTGGGAGTCGCGCTCGTCAGTAACTTCAAGGTGCACGGAAACGGCCACCTAAGTAAAGTATGATTTGGATACTTTTTGAGTCGTGCGTTGATTTAATATTATTTAAGCATTACTTAGGTTTCCGTGACATGTAGAAAAATAGAAATTTTTTCTTAAATATCGAAAAAGTGGCTTACAAACGACCATTCAAGTATTTAGACCACTTAAACCTATTAAGTCGTCAATATCCGCATAAATACCAACCTTATCCATCGTCAGCGCCCATATCCTCAGGTCGTGCACCTTCTCGATGCCAGGAATCGACTGGAGGGACTGGATCACCTCGCTGAAGTCGACGGAGGCTGGGCGGCCTGAACAAAATTATGGAAATTGCACCGCAAACCCTATTATACCTTCAAGGAGCACCACCAGCGCGTCCCTGAGAATGTAGATGGTCGTGCTGAGGACGATGACGGAAAAGATGAGCGTGCAGATCGGGTCGAGGATCGTCCAGGAGGGCTGGAAAAGCGAGAGCTTATAAAATCGTTTTTGCAACTTTAAAGGGGCAAGGAAACGTTAGAAGTACTAGATTTTTGATAAGGTTTGACAATTACACGCCACCCACGTTTTGCGATATTATATTCAGTAAAAAATATGAAATCTGTTGCATTTGATGAATTTGCTTACAGGAATTTTCTCTCTTCCAGCTCCTCTCATTCTCGCTCTTTCACTCTCTCTGTCTTTCTCTAACTCTCTTTCTCTCTCGCTCTCTCTCTCTCTCTCTCTCTTCTCCTCTAGTTCTAGCTTTCTCTCTCCCCTTGTCCCTCGCCCTCACTCTGTCTCTCTCTCTCTCTCTCTCTCTCTCTCTCTATCCCTCTCGCTCGCCCTCTCTCGCTCTCTTTCAGGGGCCTGGTAATCTCACCGAAGTTATTTTAAATCAATGCCGAAAAATTCCCAGTCAAATTTCCTGTTCCTTCTGACTTCTGACCAATCGTCCACCTTTTTACAAATCGTAGTGCTCACCAAAGAGCACGTTAATCTCTGTCTCCCCCTTCCCTTTTAGAGCGACTAGTTTTGGACCGTTTCTACCCCCCGGAGTCCAGAAAATCGCCGGGCGGGCGGTGGTTTTGTGGTTTTTCGAAACCAAGGCCATGTGTTTTTGGACTCTGACTTTTGAGGCGGCACGCGCACAACCCCACGAGCTAAAGAAAACAACGTTTACGACAATTTTGGGTATTTCTGGGCGCAAGGTTTGCAGTGGGAACAAAAAAGGTGGTGTTGGACTTTTGCAGCGGTCAGAACAACACCGATATGCTAAATTAAGCCAAGTTTAAAGTTTGCTTGGCTTAAACAACGTAATGTGTAAAGCGTAACGTGACGTACCACAAAGAGAATAACGAGAGCAGCGATCAGTACACCGACACTTTGAATAAGGTCGCCGAGGACGTGGATGAAGGCGGCGCGGACATTGATGTTGGCACCATCGTGAGCATGCTAAAAAAGTGGGTACTGAGCGTTATAACTGCAAGGGCAAAACTCTAACACTAACTAAAGCAGACGAGAGAGTGCGTGAGAGAGAAATAGAGAGAGAGAGCGGTATGGAGCCAGAGAGAGAGAGAGAGAAAGATAGAGAGAGGAGAGAGAGAGAGAGAGAGAGAGAGAGAGTAGGATAATACCAAAATTTTGATAGAATTTTGCATGTACTGGTATCATCATGATTGCAATTACCGTAGTGCTAACTAAAACGAGGGAGCGCGGGGGAGAGAACGAGAGATCGAGACCGAACTCCTTAATTTTTCACTTACCCCTTTAGATTCCTTCTCCTCGTGGCTATGCCCATGTGCAGTATGTTGAGCCTCAGTCTCATGCGATGCATCAGATCCACTATGGCTATGTCCGTGTCCTCCTCCATGACTGTGTCCATGTCCACCAGCGTGGCTATGGCCATGCCCTCCTTCATGGCTCTGCCCGTGCGCGCTTTCGATGTCCTTTTGCTGCTTCTGAAAGGAGAAATTAGCTTAGAAAGGTTCAATTCGCGGATTGGGCTAATTCATAGAAGCTCTCTGCTAGCTCGCCCACCTTCTTGTTCTTCTTCGGAGCTCCTCCATGGCTATGACCGTGTCCACCTCCGCCGTGAGAATGGGAGTGTCCGCCGAAGAATAAGAGGGCTCCCATGCTAAATATTGAATTTTCGGTTTGTTTTTCGAAGGTTCTTTGGTCTGGGTTATATTAATTAAATATATGAATGAATATTGTAACAATAAATCTTATACTTTTAGAATTTTCGTCGTTTTGGATGTTTTTTAGGGTCCCCATCTCCATGATCTTCCCAGACTAATAATTTAACGCCCTGACCCTTTCAGGAAGCTTGTTATCTAGCCCGCCACTTGCCCCGAAAAACCGCGCGAAGCCGAGCGACCAAAAAATTTGCCAGCTGCCCCCCGCGGTCATGGCCGATAACGGAAGCCAACGGCTTTTCGTGTGGGATCGTATAGAAAAGTGTGGTATGTTAAGGTTGACGGGTAGAGATCAAAGTTAAGTTTTGCGATACTGCCTTTGATTATAGCTTGATACGTCCTAAAAGCGACCAAAAATCCAAAAAAAAGCGTAAACCGAGCCAAAATTAAAGGCACTTGGAGGTCTCTAAATCGAGGACGGGCGTCCACCAGGTCTTGACAACTACCCACTACGTCAATATACACGTCTAGACGATTTTTATGGCAGATTTTCTGTATTCTAAATAACATTCAAGAAACGTTAAGTAGTCTTATTATGTATCCTGGAAAATACGTATCTGTCAACACCTGGTAGCTTCAAAAGTCAATTCACCCGCTTCCTAGCCCCTTTAACCCATTTCAAAAGTCCCTGAAAGTCGATCATAACGTTTATAATCTTTTTGGTACTTTTTCGAGGGCCCCCATTTCCAGCTTTTCTTCCATTCCGCTTCCTCAAAAAATCTCCTTGAAAAATGACTCACATCAAGTTGACGAGCACACCGAGACTTGCGGTGATCGCCATAATCTTTGGTTCCACCTGAAAAGGGCCCAATTTTTTGGTACGTATAATATGACTAGTATAGGGTAAGGCATGACTCAATTTCTCGATAAGGAGTCAGCATCAGTATTACGACTTGTGAACACGTTCAGCTACGTCACAAAACATCAACACAGTCGAGATAAGGGAGCAGGAGAGTTTAATGGTGCGAGCTTTAGCGGCTAATGTGGACATAATGCTATAGTGCAAAACTAATTAGCATTGTATCATTGAAAGCGACCGGGAAATTAATTAAATGTCGCTTTTGACCCGAAAGTGTTGCCCATCGAAATATCGACAGTTTCAATGCCGACAGGTACATGTCGGTATTATGAGTGTCGGCATTTTCAAGTTTCGAAAAGTTTCTTATCTCTCTCTCTCTCTCTCTCCAGGAATTTTTTTGGGGCTGAATGGCGTAAAATTATCTCAAAGGTTACCATAAATTTAAATTTTTTTCTCTATTTCCCTAACCGCGATTTTTTCCTGCATAACCATCGGAACAGCTGTTCTACTGCTGTTGGTTGCTTTGCCATATTGCTATGTGTTGTATTGCTATGTGTGCTATGTATCCGGGGTCGACCGCTCGGGGCTCCGGCACGCTACAATAAACGCGTGAATGGGCACAATAGGGATGGTCGGAGAGCGGCTAGACGGGGTGGAAGTATCGCTCCGGAAAATACAACCCTGGGATTGTCTGGGTTCCGGGAAAAGTACACATAAGATTTTGGAGGTGCTTGGTGTTAAAATTGTTAAAAACTGACGGAAAATCGGGTTTAAAGGGGCTCGGGGGTCAAAAAGTAACGTAATTTTGTTGAAAACCACGATGACGCCCTTTTTGTAACTTTAAATGGACTGAGTAATCAAAAATCCATGAAAATCCACGCACCTCGTGATCACCCTTGATTATCCGGCTAATCGCCAGCACCACGAGAACGCCGGTGACCACCCAGATCAGGAAAACGGAGAAGAAGGCACCGAGGACTTCTGAAATAAATCAATAAGATGATATTTAAATAATTAAAGGGATAAATATGTGAAAAATTTGCCTAACCTGCTCGATGGAATCCCCAGCTCATCTTCTGGTTGGCGGGGCGGTTGGCGATGTACAGGGAGAAGAGAGAGATCAGCATCGATGCGAGATCGGTTAGCTGGCAATTGAAATATCGAGTTTTTAATTTTTTTCTAGTTAATTGAGTTGAAATTTATAAGTTCATTTGAATTGCTGCTACCTTTAAAATCGTGCTGAACTCACCAAATGCGCGGCATCAGTAATAATGGCCAACGAATTAGCAATTTTCCCTCCGACAACTTCGCAAATCATGAACAGCAAACAAATCAGGACGGAGATCCACAGGATTCGTCTTGCTTTTCGGTTTTTCTCGTCTAAAACCATCTCTATTTTCCTAAAGGATAACCAGACTACCGTACCCTCTTTCTTCTCATCGTGGTCATGGCAATGGAACGAAGCGGTTGTATCGGATTTGGCCATTCCGGTCGCATTATAGGAGGTTCTGAAATAGCGGTATTTCATAGGAATTTAAGAAATTACAGTAATCTTTATAATCACTAGTATAACGCAGTATTTTAGACTAATGCAAAGTATTAACCTTGTACGCCTTCAATACTTTAAATTTAATGTAGTGTTCAAGACCTGATAATCGGCTTACGTAGTGTTATGATTGGCATAAATCGCCGACAATTCAATAGCTACAATAATCTGCTTACTAGTTTACCTGAATGAACCCATTCCAAGTTAGCGATCTGGTTAATAAGCAAACGCAACTTTAAGGCAGAAAAATCAAGAAATACACCACCAAAATATACGATTTCCACTAGCCAGATTAAGGATTGCGTGGTCAGAACTCGGGCACAAACTCCTCCTCCTCCTCCTCCTCCTCCCTCCTCCTCCCTCCTGTCCTCATGCTTCTTTTAGCGAGTCCAAAGGAGCAGGACAGAACACGAGTGAGCAACCAACAAATCCCCTGCCCCGATGATTCGTGTTTTCCTCCGCAGAGTTCAGGTGTCGGGATGTGCCCTTTCTCTGACTTGTGGTTTTCTTTCTTATTTTCTACTGCAATTAGGTTTTGACGTCTAGGTTTGGGATTATACAAAACCAGTCACCATTAAATGTCTATTAGCGTCATACTAGGGCTCGATCCCCTATTTTTAGGGCAATTTAGGGCTAGAGCGAGCTGAGGGCGCTGTGACTCATGGCTTTGCAAGAGCCTGCATTTTTTGGTGCGACGTGTTCATGCAAATTTCAAGGTCTTAAAAAAACATCCTAAGGATTACGTGACCATACATCAACAGGCTGAATTCAAAATATACAAATCTTCGTTTTTTTCTGGGTTTAACGGGTTTTCAAGCTCAGAATTGTTGAATTTTTAAGCTTTTTAAGCATGGCGGACTTTTTTTAACCGAATTTGCAAATTCGTGAGACATTTCTCGCTATAATCAGCATACAAGAAAAGTGAAAGCTTCAGAAAATCCCAATCAACTTCGTATAGCCTGGGAATAACTCACGCTCTCTCCACGGTTTTCGGGTTATAAATGAGCTCGACGACCGGGGCGGGTGGTACGTCTGTTGAGGCTGTCATCTCTAATTGCTAGCGCATTAAATGATGCTTTTTTTGACAAGAAAGCCATGTGAAAATATAAATCAATATCAACAAGAAGCTGAGATATCGAGAATCAGCCAAGGAACAAGCGGAAATTATTGAGAAACCGGGATTAATTTATTTCTAGGGAGGTGGTTAGGAATCCATACAAAAATTGTCTGCTTTCCGGGATTAAATATCAGCAGGACTGTTATGGAGAAAAGAAGAGAGAGAGAGAGAGAGAGAGAGAGAGAGAGAGAGAGAGAGAGAGAGAGAGAGAGAGAGAGAGAGAGTAACTAGCTAGATCTAGAAAAAATCTTTGGGTATTAATCAGGCGGAATCCAAGGAATTTCATATCGTAAGCTATACCTAGCAGAGGAAATTCAGGAATACACCCTGCGGAATCAGTTCAAGTTCATAAGGTAGGCGAGTAATTGCAAAAAAAAATTAGAAAAAGATAATACGTAAAAACGTGGTAAAATCCGGAGGTGAGCAGAGAAGTTTTGCGAAATTAGTTCATCCATACGGTAAGCACCAACTTGCAGAGAGAATTTGCCGAAATGACTGCAAAAAAAAATCCAAAAACCGTAGAATCAGCTGCAACGCCTCGCCTGTGAAATTGACCGGATTGGGGTGAGGGTTATATAGGGGTGACGACAGGCCATGGGGAGGTTAGGCCCCCGTCTCAAATGTTGATAACCCGCAGCTTGTGGGAGGGAGGAAGCACTTTTTAGGCCCAAAGGCCTGTAATAGATCTACAGGGCCTGAACAGCTTATCTTTGCATTGCGGCACCACACACAGCTATAGGGCGAGGGCCCGCCCCAATTCAGGACATTCTCACATCGGGTTCACAAGCTTTTGTAGCAAGTAGACAGGGTCGGTTTGGATGTATTAGAAAACATGGACTAATATATGTGGGTATAGCAAGGTGTCGACGGAAAGCTAAAAGGCTGCACTAAAAATAATCTATTCTAATGGGAAAATACCAGCAACAAAACCCAGATAAATGCAAAATGAGAGTCAGTCCGCATCTGTTCTAGATTCTGTAGATGCTAGCAGGGATGCTTTGGGAATCGGTGAACAGGTGACCAGAGATTTGATGAAAATCGAAGGACAGACTAGCAGATAGCCTTCGTAAACCAAAAGCTAGCTGATATGCTTTGGCAGTCAAATAACGTGAGAATTTCAGAACTGAGGAGCAGTCTAGGAGAGATTCTTGCGGAATCCAAAATCGTTACAATTGCCCAAACGACCACGGCGTATGGTGTAGCCTAAATTTCGTATTACCAAATTTCGAGAAGTAGACTAGGTTCGGCTGAACTACGGTAAACAAGGCACTCAAAAATCCAATAAACCCAAATTAGATTTTTTGGGTTTGAAAACAGTCTCAAAAGGGGGGGGGGGGGGGGGTTTGGTACATATTCAAAAACTCTTCGAATATTATTATCGAAAAACCGGAAAACGAGAAAAATTTGAGGGTGAAGCGGGGCATCCATTGATTCATTTTGCATGGGAGGAACGGGAAAAGAATTCGCGCGATAGCATGAATGTCCCAAATTATGAGCTGCTCGTTTCCTTTTCTCTCACTCTCGCTCTGTCTCTGTCTCTCGCTCGCTCTCGCTTTCTCGACTTTATTCAAAACCAAGTAAAAAAGGGGGTTTCCAGAGAATCGGACGCTGACTCACTTCTTTAGAAAATATATTTTATGATGGTTTTTGGCCACAAGAAATTGGCCTATGAAATTCTCAGGGTACACATCAAGTGATTCAGCGGGCCAAACTTCAGTAAAGTTGATACGGTGCGCCATTTCGAGTTTTAGAAACCGATCGTAAGCTTTTACTGATGGCTAGTGCAAGATTTCAGTAGGCTTCGACTGATGAAATTTTACTAAATGGCGCAGGAAAGTCGAAAGAATTTGCTGTTAGAGCAAGGAGAAGCTGGTTATAGCGCAAACCCCTCATGTTAAAACGATACCTAACAATCATAGAGCACAACAACAACAACAACAACAAGGCATATGAAATGCTATCATTAATGTTCGGGTATCAATGCAAGAAAAACAACGCTTATGGCAAGATTTCAATTCTTGGCTTCATCTATTCTTTGGTCTCTGTTTTCCACAAAACTCCGCCCATGCAGAATCTGGATTTTGCAAAAGTGGAAGGCAGTTCTGCCAAGCCAACCAGGCATGGCCCATCCAGTCCCCCTGCTACCCCTACAGACTCGAACCGGCGGCCTTTCATTGGCCTATGCATGTTACCTCCGGGATTCCGAGAAAAACGGCCAAAGTTTGACGCAAACAACCCAGATAAGAGGTTTATATAAGACACGATCCGAGATCAAGGCTGGCACGCATTTTCCGATCATCTCACTTATCTATGGGTAAGCTATCACACAGTTTTCAAATAAGGTTACAAAGTGGCATGTTTGCCGTGTAGGTTTTTATATTCAGAAAACGATTCAAGGTTAAAAAGTAACTTGATGGAGGTAGCTTAACATCAGACCATCGCAGTGCCAAATATCTGGTCAATAGGTTATCAGATTCCCAAAAATAACTCATGTTTATGGCAAGAACGAGCACGTGAAGGAACCGAATTTTGAAATTATTGTTTGTTTTCTACGCGATAGCGATCGCTAAGTTAACTTCACAGTTTTTCCCGCCAAAAAAGCGGAACGGCTGATTAATCGTGAATCCGTTGACCGTCGTGAAAAATCCCGCTTTTAAACTATTCAATCTGCACGTTTATGTAGCAGTTTAGGTCTTTTTGATTTGATTCCTATGGACGTGCTTTAAATACATGGAGTTAAGTGTTTTTTAAGAAAAAACATCGGTTTAATCGTGTTTACCACCAAGAAAAGTACGGTTTTTAGGCGCTGATAATGCCCATTTTTGAAAAATTTAATGTGATAAGATTCTAATGTCGACTTCTTCAATACGTTAATCAAGGAAATTCACTTTAGAAAAATATATTATCGTCAAGCTTTCAAGTGTTTATAAGTCATTTAATAGTAGTTTACCAAGTAGTATTTCAGCATTATATTAATACCCTCCGTGTATTGCTTAGGATATGTAATACATGTATATCAAAAAAGAACTTACAATCCCGCTCCAAGCAGTGGTTCCCTTTCCGTCATTTTTCGCACTTCAGGGTATTGATTTTCGAATTAAATGTAGTAATTTTTAGCGCAAATCTGGCATGAGCCTCGTTAGTGTGAAGCCGTAAATTGAGGGCGGACTTGATGCTCGACTTCAGCCGGGAGCGAGCCCCGAGGTGGTGACCACTTGTTGGCCCTTATCACTGTCTCTATGCCCTCTCAATATTCAATGATATTTCCACGGATAGATCCCCTTAATAGAGCTGATAAGGGTCGGAGTCTTTTTTCTCTCCTCGAGTGGCACTTTAGAGTTGTGCTAGTGTTTGATGCACTTTCCACCCCGGGCTGTATTGGTGGCTGTAGTACAGAAGATGGTTGCCGGGCCAGGATCACACCGGAATTTCAGGAAAAACCTCAAAATGGCTTTTTGACAGACCATTTACACGTTTTGCCGAAACCTATAAAAGCCACTCTAGCACTTCATAAATTGTTTTAATGGACTTTTTGCATCTTCTAGTGTACAGAGGACATAAGCTGAATCGCGAGCATAACGGATATTAAAAAACCCGCGACTTCTTCTTCATAAATTATTTTCAATGAATTTTCTGCCCTACTTAGCCGCCTATTTTCGCCAACGTAGCGCAGCGTACGGCAACGGAATGAGGATGCAACCGGAAACTTGAAAAATCCAGATAGACCTCAAACATAATTTTTATAGAGTAACTGACTTTTCTATCAAAGCCGTGTTTGTACGTGTATTGTGGGGGACAGTAGCGGAATCAGGATTGTTCCGGAACTTCGGAAAAGGTAAACTTTTTGCTGATTAAGGACCGTTTTCTAGATCGGTGTGGTTCTTAGGCAAAGTTTATATAACGTAGCCAACACAGGGGAATTTTGTGACAAATAAATCTGCAAATTTGGTAATAATTACAGGAAGAGGCACTGGCGCAATGAAGCAACAGGCAATTTGAAAAAATGCGTGAATGGTCCTTTATATACTTTTAGAAAGCAAAATTCTTGAAGATCAGTTCGTGATAAATTAAACAAAGAAATCAGCTTTATACTCATTGCAAAGCATTTTTGTACTATAGCGATACGGTAACACTTTTCCTCAAGAATGACATATTAGAATTAATTGAAGGGATTAGTGGAACCCAACCTACATACGGTTAGAACCGCGAAAAGTTTCGGGGAGCAAAATTGAGGCCCCCGGAAGGCCCGTGGGAATGTGCCAAAACTCGCGGGTTTTTTTCTGCAGTGGCCGCCCACAGTCTCCCCTTATGCTTATCGCAGATGGACTGCCGGGTGACTCTGGCTGGCCGAAGAAAACGGGGGAAACGGTTGAAAATAGGGAAAGAAGGGAATCGAGACAGATGCCGGGTGGTTGAGGCTTTTCGGCAGGGTCAGGAGAGGTTATCGGCGTACTGGGGTAAGACGCTGAAAAAAAATGGAATGGAAGACATGGAAGGCTTAAAGGCTTATGCCGTTCTGAGGCTGTGACGCGACACGCAACGCGCTATAGACTATTTCTTTGCGTAATGAATTGCGTTCGAGAGGTGTGTGCGTTGCGTGTCACGGGCAAGATTTTTCTAGCTGCCTCTCTCTCACTCTCTCCCTCTCTCACTGTCCCTCGCTCTCTCGCTCTCTCGTTCGCTCTCTCATTATCTCTCTCCCTCTTACTCTTTCTCGCGCGCTCTCTCTCTCTCTCTCTTTCTCTCTCCCTCTCTCTCGCTCGCTTACCCTCGGCGCTTTTTGAACCTCCCCAACAGCGTTTGTCTTCACCGAAGCGCCTCCGTGATGAGCTCCTTAAATATGCTTTTCTCAAAACCAGAGCATTTTTCCATACCGTGACTAGCGTTCGACGGAGCATCAGCTTGGTGACCAGTGATTGACGATGTCCTGCACTGATTGCAGAGATGAGCAAAAAGTAGCGCCCGGATCTGCGGATCGAAGATGGCGAGCAGCAAGGGGCGGAGGCAGGAGCTGAGGGTTAGGGTGATCACACTGAAATGGAGGTTGAATTGAAGCTAGAAAGACGGCTAGGAGTCTTGTAGTCGTCAGGACCTAGCTGACAAAGGTATAAATTCTGACACTTCCTTAGCTCTTTAAAGAGGCGCATCTCCAGGTTTAAATCTCCGTATGAATCATACCTGGCAATAAATAGACCATTATCTAGTCGAAAATCGAACACTCGATGCAATCGAAAGGCAATGACACTCCGGACGGATTCACATAGTAGCGGAATGTAGTCGATGATCACGATTGTGGTAGCGATGGCGTGGGCATGTTTTTCCTAAAATTTGCGAATTTTTGGCTTTCTCCATCACATTTACTTGCTTTATCATAACCCTGGTTTCCCCTAAATCCCTTTACGTACGTTTAGGTTTTACGCTAATTTTCGTCCCGTCACCCAACAAGCAGTTCAAACCGCCCCATTTTTCATACTATGGTCTTTTTCTGGGGGGTGCTGAAAATGACGAGTGTCTGATAGGGTCTTATCAGGTCCGGAAGTCGCGGTGGTTTTTCACAGAGATGGGGGATAATTTATAGCCGAAAAGTGACAATGAGTAATCCAGATTTTTATTGAATTTTTTACAAAATTGACATTAAAAGCGAGAGCCAAAAATAACCGTTGTTATGCAATAATTGATGGAGCACTTATTGCCCTATCCGCACGTAAACATTGTTGTTTTTAGGGCTGCAGGCCTTGCAAAACGAGGGGCCTGATGGAATTAACCTAACCTCCTTGCTTCCACTCTTTATCGCTCCAATCATTGTCAATACAAACGAGATGACGGCGGCGATGGTCAGGGCAAACAGGGCTCCTTCTAGGATGAACTCGAGTACGCAGTCGATCTGAAAAGTCGGATGAAAGGTCTTGCAATCGAACCTAATTTTTTCATAGGTATCGACTAGGCAAACAGTCAAAGGGGCTGACGGGAGGCGGCAAAAGCAAAGCGTTGCCTATTGAATTTTGCAGGTTAAATGATCTTGCTTAATGACGCCAGACTTTAAGGGGATTAGGCAGCGCAAGGATTGATCTTTCCGTGGTCCAGGTCTTGGTAGGTTGATAAGGTCATTTTTTAGCGTTTCTAACGACTATAGGAAGCGCGATGTTCGGAATCTATGAACTAGTAGATCTCGAAAGCTGGCGGTCGTTCCAAAACATCTCGATGCTAAATTAGAACCAACACTATCGCAAATTCATACCAATTTAAGGCCAAAAATTTGACAAAAATCTGTCCCAAAATATGTCAAGATCCTACCGTAGTATCGCATTCTGTAAAATCCACTCGACGTCCACTCGTCTCGATCACGAAAGATGATGGCGACGAGAAAAGTGGGGATAACAAAGATCAGAGCTAGATCAGCCCACGACGAAACAGGGTCCAGCCCACTTCCTAAAATTCGGTTCATTTCGCAGAACAACTGTATTAAGTGGCATCGGAAACCCATCAACTTCTGGCCCAGGAA